CAAAACCCCAAAACCCCAAAACCCCAAAACCCCAAAACCCCAAAACCCCTTAAGTAATTAGAATGATATTCATGAGGAAATAAAATGGGATAAAATAAAAAAAGAAATTATTAGCTTGAAAGTCAGAACTTTCTGATTTAATCAGAAATTCATTAACATCCTGATAGATTTTATTGATTTTGAACTATATAACTACTAATTCTAGTATAATTTCAAATAAGTAATTAACATAACTCATACTCTCAAATGACCTCAAAAGCTCTTCTTAATAATATGCTATTAATCAAGAAAAGAGATGCCTCAGTTGACCACCAAATCAACTCCAGATTCCAATAGAAACCATAGGACAAGCTTAGTTTACCTCAACTTAAGCAAGCTCAGCAAGGATCTGGTAAAAATCTCTTACCTTAACCAAATGGCTTACTTGCACCAAGACAAGCCATGAACAACAATAACCAAGTAAAGTACACAAGATCTAGCAATCACAGATCAATCGAGAGAGCAGCAGTTGCTGTGAAGAATCAAAAGCAGCATTCTAGAATGGGGTCCATTGAATACCCCAACAGCAATCAAAGCACCTAACATTCAACTGCACAGCTTTCCGCAATCAGTTCTGGCTTCTTAAACCTTGACATCAAAGAAAGAAAATATGACTTGATTAGTGACTATGGCAAGTAAATTGATACTTACTTGAAAGAGTTACAAGATGAAAACTCAATTGGCGCAAGCCACTTGAGCAATCATAAAATCAACGGTATTTACAGAGCCAAAATGGTTGACTGGATGGTTGAAGTTCTTACTGCATTCAAGTGCTCAGACTAAACCTTTTTCCTCGCTATTAACATCATGGACAGATACTTCGATGCCCTTAACAAAGATAACATCGCATTAGAATTAACTGAGTTGCACACAACTGGAATTGTTTGCATGTTTATGGCTTCAAAATATGAAGACATCTACCCTTTGTTAATGAAGACTGTGTATAGTAAAATCGGACATTCAAAAATTAGCGTTGATGCTATCAGAAATAAAGAGATGGAAATTCTAAGAGTACTGAGCTTCCAAATTGGCAGCTATCCAACAGTGCTCGAATTCCAGCAAAGCTACATCGAACAAGCCTTTAAAAATCACGAGGACAGAGATTTCATCAAGCTAATGACCATTTACTTGGGTAAAATGGCACTCCATCATGAAAACCTCTGCACCAAATAGTCAAATTTATTGGCTGCCTCTTCAATCTATGTTGCACTTAAAATTTGTGAGCAAATGAGACAAAAACCAATGCTTACAAAGGCAACACTTCAACAAATCATAGATGTTTCAGGCATCGAAGAGAAAAAATTGATTGAATGCGCTAAGAAAGTACTTTACCTAGCATAAAACTTTGAGAAAGAGCTTCCGGGTCTACAAAACGTCAAGGAGTGTTACATTCCACTCCTTAACCAATTCGTCTAATAATGAACAACAAATGGGTCTTTCCCTAACTGAAAGACCACAAACCAGCAAATTTACTGGAATTTTGATATCTATATTGCCTGCCTTTTGGAGCATAAGACTTTTATGAAGGTATATACATCCTAGTAAGGTAGTATCTAGCTTTAAACTCTTCCTGCTTAGCTTGAACTCACAGAGGAGAAATTTTCAAAGCGTCAATCTTATTGTGGTTGGCTCTTTATGAAGATTCGTCTCCGAAGGGTTCCTGTCTGGCAACTATTGTTTGAGTGGGCTAGACTACTAAACTTGGTGCGAAAACCTTCATAGCAAGTAGCATTTTCAGAAATCACGAAAAGAAAGACAGATGAGAATATAGAGAATCAGAAAACTGGAAAGTTTGCCTATATTGTACGCTAATGTATTTTATAATATGTATTGCTAATATAATTGGGTAACAAGATAACTAACAAATCTTTTTCTTTTATTTTAAATACTGACAATCAAGGGGTTTTGGGGTTTTGGGGAGATCGGAAGAGCACC